GACGTATGCACCAAGTTTTGAACCTGGATTTTCTCAATGGATGGAGTTGGCACAAACTGGATACCAACAGTTTTTCTTCATCCGTGCTTGGGAGAATGGACGCCGTTGGGCTGAAATTCTGACAGACCATGGCATTGCTTCTGCAGAACTTTCAAGTTTCTTGGATATGTGCAGGGATCCCAAATTGCTGGGTTGGAACTTTGGTATCCCAGAACCTCAGTGGGATAATTTCGGCAACTCAGTGGAGGAAGCATTTAACAATCCATCATTTGCCAAACTGCACTATCGTTTCAAGCAGGAGGAAGAGATTGGCCGTGTCATGCACCTTTTGTCTGAACTTGTTTGTGACTTTTTCGTCAAGGTGCTTCCCAGGTGGGTTCTTAAGCATTCGATCTTGTGGGAAGAGTTTATGATCTTGGATCCACACACAAAGCTCCCTCTTTACAAGACTTCAGAGGCCGCCTTACAAGCAGAAGAGGATCCAGAGAAGTATCATACACATTTTGCTATGAACTTCAAGAAATTCCGTTTTTCTGCAAGAATTGTGTGGTATTTGATTGACCGTGACAGGAATCATTTAGAGAGTTTTCTTCACAACTCCAACAGTAGATTTGTGCAACATGCATGCTATCAACTTCGTGAGTATGTTCAAGCGCGTGTTGCAGTTTCTGATCCCTTGTATGAGATGATCAAGAAGGAAGAGTTTGAACGCCAATACAATTCCAAGTTTTTGGAGGCGATTTCTTGCTCTCGTGTTGTAGTTGAGCCTGTAAGTTCAGGGACGTATGAGCCATCATCGAAGCTGAACTTAAAGGTACTACAAGACATCCTGAAGGGTATCTTTAAGATCCAGAAGGATGAGGAGGATGCCAAGGAACGTGAGGAAGAAGAAGAACAGGCAGCTCAAAACATCTCATACCTGTTGGCAGATGATATGGAGCTTGATTTCGATGATGATAATGTTCCAGTATGGCGCTCCATTGTCGACAAGTATAGAGAAGGTGATCAGGTGCTACAGGGAGAAGCTGTGAAGATTACTCACCTGTTCAGGGATCAAAAGGACAATGAGAAGGCGACAGAAGCTTTCAGTTCAGAGAGGACAGATTTTTATGAGACCTCAGGACCTCTTCCAAGAACCATGGGAGAAAATCTTGTAGAGGACTTGCTCACCAAGGATGTTGCAGAACAAGCTTTTGATGCAGGTGAAGAAGTTCCTCCTTATACAAGAGTCTCCACTATCGCTGGTGGAATCTATACTGGAAGTATGACACTTCTAGAAGATGAGGATATGGAAGAGGAAGTTCCTGAAGAAGATCCTGCAGTTGAACCTGAAAAGGAAGAAGAAATATTTGATGAGAATGCAGGTGTTTTTCCTTCAGAGGAACCAAAGATGGAAGTGGACCAGGAGGAAGCCAAGGAGGAGTCAACACCACACTTTCTGTCAAGAGAGATAGGTGAGGACTCGGCTGCATCGCACTTACCATCAGGTGAGATGGATGCTAACCTTGATGATACTCCACGTCTGCCGAAATCTAAGAAAAGCCGCCTGAATAAAATACCTGATCCTCATTTTCATGAAGAAGTTCAGGATGATGCAACCATGGAAGAGAAGAAAGAGGCGGTGGAGAAAATAAAAGAGGTCAGAGAGGATGATGGAGAGAAGATTGGAGGCTGAAATCCAGGAATCTTTTCCATCTGAAGTAGTTGTTGAAAAGGATACAACAAAAGTTGACAATACCTATGAGTTGCATACTTCACCTTTGAAGTTGCTTGGATCCAGGTATTGGCCTTTATCAACAATGCTTCAGGGAAACTCACGCAAGATTGCTGAATCATGTTTGTTTCAGAAAAGGTGAGATTTCCCATCCTCATTATCAGTCAAGGATCAACGAGAATGATTTTGTTCGATCCATTCGTAATATCTGTCCAGTACCTCCACCTGATTGTTATGAACACGAACCAGAGCATGATTTGAAGAGATTCTTTATCAATGATGATCGCATCATTCATTTGGATGGCAAGTATCAGGTCGATCCAAAGGCCCTTGAAAGGGCAGAACATGCTCGAGAAGAATTGGAGGATACGAAGAAGGAACTTAAGAAGGAACTGGAATCATATGGTCCCAAGGGACCCAGTTGGGACTTTGTCACCTTCTATGAAGAGCTGTGCAGAAGGTTCCTCAAGGGAAGAATAGAAGAACCATATGGAACTAACTTATTGGCCAGCTCAGAGTCCTTGACATTTTTATCCTGGAACTATGGCAACATGGTTCGTGGTCAGAAGTACACCACACCAAGGTTTCTCCAAGGACTTGATAGTGCAATGAGGCCACGCAAACAGAGCGCCATGTCACTTCAGAATGAGCAATTTGAGAACAACCTTTTCTTCAACATGCTCTTCTTTTTACGTGCACATGTCGTGATTCTCCAGGAAGCTCATCTTCTTGTTCCTGCCAAGGAATTTATTGAGCAAAAGAATTGGACAGTTTGTTTCAATGATTGGGAGAATCTTGCAGTGATGGCTAGATTGGCACCAGGTGGATATGTCAAGATCATTGCTGGACATGATCAAGAACTTGGTCACTGTGAACAGCGTGATGTAACTTGGGCTATCTACGAGATTTGTTTTGGAGAGACAAGGCCTCGTCAAGATTTCAAGGATGCAGACTTTGAATTTGATGACTATGGTCCTGAGGACAAGCGTGTTCCACTTACTCGAGCGAACATGCATACCATCAGAGTCTGTAATTATCATGTTGATACACACCGTGCTGTGGATGCCCACCTACTGACAGGAGAACAGATAGCATTGATGCTTTACGAGTGTTTTGTCTATGAGGTGGACATCATTTCTGGTGATGCAAATAGTTTGGCCTACAGAATGTCTGGGTACAAAAGGCAGCCAATGGCTAACTACTATTACAGCACCATGCAGCATTGGATCCGCAGGTTTTCAGAAGCTCGTGTAAAAGCAGATCCTGGTATCAAAGCACCTATTCCCAGAACATTTTACAGTTCAACTTCACAGGTCCTCAAGAAGTGTGAAGTTTACTTTGATAAACTCTGGGAAGAATATTCTACTGTTGAAAAAGAAGAATACCAAGGATCACAGCTTGGCGATACATGTTTGTCTACCATTGTTGAATGGGGTCATTCAATGAGTGAAGAGGAATATGAAAATTCCACAGTGAGCACGAAGGAGTTCATCTGTAATTTTTCAGAGAACTTTGCTATGATTGACACGGAGGTTATGTGCTCAAGACCCTCTGACGAGGACAGTCATGGTCCAATGTTTATTTCACTCAGACCAGCTTCCTTTTCATCTGGAGACAGAAGACAGTATCGCATGGGAGCAACTCTTCATGAGGCGAACTTGCGGAGGAAGGAGAGACAGAAGCAGAATAGAAAGAAAGGAAGGCCGCCAACTTCTGATCAAGCAGCTTCATCGTCTGCAGCGGCATAATTCCTGAGCGAAGGCAGAAATTTAAATGATGGCTAGGAAGTGAAGATACTTCTGGTTACAGTTGATACTTTGCTTCCAAGCTTGACTTTAAGTTGCCGGGCTGAAGTTTTAAACTTTAGCAGGTAGATATGGACAGTTTTACATAACTGATGATATCTATCACCACCGCTCTTATGAAGTGACCTCTAATGGACAACCAGTCATGGTTGATGATTAAGTCATTTCATGATTTGCAATTGTAGTGCAAGATTTTTTTTGTACATACATTTGCCGGTATCTCCTTCTTGTGTTTTTGATGTGAATGTGAAAGAGAGTCCTTTTGATGCAGTTTTATTTTGTCTGTGGATGAAAGCGGTCGAGACCACGTCACGAGAAGATTATTCCTCGGACCGTACGCTCCTTGCATTTTGCAAGGCATTTTAATTAATTGCATTTGTGCGGTCTTGAGTTTTTGTTTCCTTGTTACGCGAGTGTCGTTTGATTCTTTTATAGGTCTCTGTAGAGAAAAAGCCGCTTTCCCTTTTTAGTTTGATTTAGCTCAGGCCATAAAGAGCTAGTGAGCGCCGGTACATGGTATCTCCGCCTGTGAAAAATACAGTCTCCAGCCGAGGTACATTATCGTTTTGATTTTGTACTTGAGGTGAGTCAGCTATTGCTCCCTCACTGTATTTAGTAGCTTTGAGATTACCTTCTCTATAGTGTGAAACACACTGGATTAGGTAAGTACATGGCACCGTAGTTTTCTTTTAAGTTGCTAGAGCTAGCTGGACTGTTTTAGCCTTGCAGTAGAAAAAGAGTGTGCGACATACGCAATCAGCTAGGAGTGGACATGAATCTTGTGCCTGCTGAAAAGTAGAGCCTACCTGTACAGGGTTCTACTCCAACAGCCGATATAGTGTGTCCATACTTGACTGCTTCAAGGCTCAAAGAGCAAGAGGATAAGACTCTGCGCATAAAAGACACTAGCGGTCTGCACCTCTACCGTGTACGCCCTAGTCACTCTTTCAGAGGGGGGGGGGGGCCCCCCCTACATATGAAATTTTCACGTGATGCGGCGATCCCGAGGATTCCAGCCCCTCACTTGCTAAAGCAAGGACAACTCCAGCTAGCTGGTGCTAGCTTTCGTGACTTCCAGTCCTCTTCTCTTCATGTCAAACACTCTTCGCCACGCGCGGCGGTCCAAGTCCACGTCCACTTCCCTTCGCCCCCCGTGGCGGGAACCCCCGGTCCGACCAGACTTCCAGGTCAGCGGTGAGGTGGGATTCTGCCCTGGACGTCTGTTCTTCCTTTCTTTTTTTCAAAATATGTTGATCTAGTCTGGTGTAAAATCCTTAGTAAAACCAATGGTTGTTCGGGATGACCCGGCTATTAAAGAAATGGTAGGCCACGACCACGACTTCTAGGGAATGGATTCCAAAACACCACCGCCACCGCAGCTCTGAACCAGTGGTCTTTTCATTTTTTGCTTCGGGTGGAGAAAGACCACTGGAGACAGGAACGGGCGCCATTCGTCCCAAAGTCGACCAACTCTCCCAGGCCTTTTGATCCAAAATCAAAAGTTCTCGGGCAAGGCCTTAAGCTCCCCATTCCAAACGAGGCATGACATAGCACGACGGAGCAGAACTGCTACATAACTGGAGAGTTTTGATTCACCATGTTTCACGTGTTCATCGAGATCTTCACTTCTTTATCTTGGGGTGGTCATCTGGCATCATCGAAACTGTGTGACTCAGTTCCATCTTTCCAACTACCCGCCGCCCGCCGTGTCATACATCTCACACTTCTGTTCTTTTGAAGCTATCCAAAACCAGGCCAAAAGGCCTTGCGGAAAGGGCCTTTCTTAAGCATGCGTGTAGACACTAGCCTTCAAAGACCTTCCTAGGGCAAAGTATCACTCTCTTGCAGTACCATTATATATATAAATTATCTCTTCTTGAGTAGATAGACCTGGGAACTGTCGGTAAAATAATTACGTTTGAAGCCTGCCAAAAAAAAGGACTGCCTTTGCCAAACACAAGAATCGAATCCCCCAACAGTCTTCTACACTCAAGTATTCTAGTAATCTCCATTCTGCTTGCCATCATAGAAATAGTATCTTTCCGTATTCTAGTAGTATCATCTGTTTTTGGGGGCCTCTCACGCATTTTCCGCCAAGAGGCCACTCAAGTCTTCCTGCTTCACCAGTTCCAAGGACTGACGGATGAGAGCCGTGCGGGCCCGGCCGAGAAAGGGAAGGTTTGAACAACAAACACATTGGACAAGTTAGTTTGGAGAATGACATTGATTCGTCCAAAGACTTTGATGTACTGTACAAGGTTTGTCCCCCTTGTTTGTAGCAAAGCAACATGGAGAAAGAGAGGAGTCCCAGCTGTTTGGGTCCCTGCTGCCTGCTTGTTGATTTGGCTCTTGTGAAAGGCAAGTTGATTCTTATTTGGCAAATCATGAGAATGAGAGAACTACACCGTGACTCACTAACATGGAAATGCAACATGGTCCCTTGGAAGCCTTTACAAACAGGAAATCATGATGTACATCTATTGCAGTGATGTTGATCATCACCACCTGCAGCCTTTGCAGCATCGAAACAGATCGCAACAACAAGATCGAACGAAACATGGATGGTTCATTCCGCTTACATCCAAGGTGCTGACTCTCTGCAGCAACAGTCAAGCCCCTTGATCCACTGGGACCAGGCACATGTCTGCCCAAAAATAATCCATGGATGTTTATCCCCCCCAAAAAGAAGTGCTTCCAAACACCAGTGATGCACCCCTACGCTTCCTGGCCCGCCCTGGATTTCATAGCCTGAATCCCGAACCACTACGGTTTGACGGCTAGCATTTTACTAATAAAGTTTTACTATACCCAGACACGACCCATGGGACTGCCATATATGCCGCCCCATTGACCCCTGTTCAACCACCCCAACTGGGGCGGCAGTCCTAGGGCAGTCCCAGACGGGTCGTGTCTGGGAGTTGTTACTTGACGAAAGTACCCAATTCCACCGAACTCCAACGGAAGGCGAACTTGAGACTGCTATTAGAAAAAGAGGCTTTCTATAGTTAGTACTAGAAGGGTTCAATATATATATATATATGTTCTATAGTACTAGTAGGGTTTCAGTAGGCTTCTATAGTACTTTCTACAGCAATTCGGCTTCTTGGATGTTCCAAAGTCCTCCCTCCGAACCGAACCGAACCGGCCCAACCCAACCCACCGGCTCACCGCCCGTGATCCCGTTTCCCCGCGGAAAAACCGCATCGCCTCGGAGGTCCTCTCTGCGAAGCTGCGTGTCTCCACGAGGCGTCGCTCCAGGTCTTGCGACAGCTCCTCCCCGGCCGGCGCGGTCTCTCCGCACGTTGACCGGCTGGAGGGAGCGGTCGGCATCCGGAGCGGTCGAGGCCGCCGGGCAAAAAACCCACTACATGGCAGGTGCAGGGGAGTGGTTTAGACAGCTTCATGTCGATTCCACTCTGTGATTGTTTAAAGATTCGCCATGAAACCACTGGCAATCACTGGAACTTGATCATAGTGATCAGTTCAAAGCCTAACAAAACCAAGCTGTCCGTACCCATTGTGGGCCAGCTGATCTTGTTCAGCCATGATTTCTGACTCTGAGATGATGCAAGCTGCGGAACCGCCATTCTGGCCTTCATTGATTTGCTCAGCTGGCCATGTTGTCCATCATGCCTCTCCACATTCTTGGCCTTAGCCATTGTTTGACTCCAGAATCAACCTGTCCTAAGGTGTTTTGATAGTATCTATATACATGCATCTGATTCCTGAAATCTACAGCTGAGCTTAGCTTTGCTTCAGAGAAACTGGAAGACTCTTTTTGGTTTGGAGGGAGTCACACACAAGGGAAAAGAAACAAACCGCCCAAAGCCAAAGCAGATTCGTGAACTTGCAAGCACACTTGCAGGATCCGATTCCAGGAGAAATCTGGTCAATCTATTTGAACATAATGTGGCGGTGTGCATGGCTAATCAATGCTAATCATACATATAAAGGGACAAATACTGCAGTGTCAAATACACTGCGAAACCATACAAGTTGTTGTTGTTGTTCTCTTCACGGCAACCAAGGTTGGCAAGGAAGTGACACGAAAATGACAAAGAGTGCAAAACCTACCTGGTGTCAGTCTCAGGTCGTGTTTTCGCGAACCATGGTGGGCTTGGTCGGGCGAGGCTCCTGGTGGGTTGAACAACCCATCCCCATATCGTGAAGCGTTTTCCTTTTTACCCCGTACGACTTGCGGACAACATCACGCCACTTAACTGCCCCTTGCTCCCATATTAGGAACGGTACAGAAAGAGATAGTCAGAAACGATGAGAAACATAATGAAAAGCACACAGTGGTTCCCCAAATGAACAGCACTCAATTATGAACCTAATCGGAGTTTAAGACGTCACTTAGAGGCGAAAACATGGTGCAAACTGAGATCTGGGAGACTTTGTGTACAAACTGGAGGAGAAAGCGGATCAAGCACAGGAAGCAAAAGCTGGGGTCAAACCCGTATGAGTTCCTCTTCTGTCTGACAATCTGTCTTCCATGTCTGTGACTACTGTATCTGAACCTCAGCTACACCGAAGCCAAGCATGACTGAAGCTGTTGCTTCACTGCATCGATTTGTACAGTGATACCCACAAACATGATGATAGCATCCATCCTTCTGAAGCACTTCGGCAGCACTCAAGAACAGCATCAGATGCTTCAGCTGCCAAGGAACCATAGTTTCTCTGAGATCCTCCATGGAACCATTCAGCTCCGAGGATTTGCTCTCATGCACCTGGATGAAAGTCACAATCGATTGGAACCTGAATGGAGGAGACCAAGGTACAACCGAGAAGGATGCTGTATGAGACCAGCATGTGGGAGTGTCTTGAGTACAAAAACATCACAGCTTCTTTTCAAGGTTGGCTGTGGCGTCCTTTCGTTAAGATACCATGATGTTATGCTTGTGTTGATTCACTTGGCAAAATGTCTCAGGCCCCCAAAATGTCGCAAACACACAGCTTCGCTGCGTCCGTCAACACACTTTTCGCCCAAAGGGCCGAGTTTTCGCTCGGTTTCTCCCCTGCTCCGCCTCTTCCACGTCCTGGAGCTTCTTGGTCACTTGCTCAATGCTCGCGGCAAATCGAGGTGCCTCACCGACGGATCGACCGGACGGGGAGAAGGGATGCCTCGGACGACGGATCGCCTCGGATCGACCTGACGATGCCTGAGATGGAGCCCCTGAGATGCTATCTACAAGCATTTGCAAGCCTCCACCATCCATCCAACTCACCACTAGGCTACCCTACTAAGATCTACGAAGCCTACGAAGCCTTTCATTGGACACACCTTTTGATCTTGGTAGTTGTATGAAACACGACTTCTTTCCACATTGGGATATTTGATCTGCTGTCCATGAACTGGTTCACAATGAACCACAGATTCACCCAGAATCCCACAAAAGGATTCACCCAGTTTGGGGATTCACCCAGTTCGGGGATCCCTCTCGAGGCTCCCCAAGCAACGATCCGACCCTGCCTGGTCTTTCAGCTTGTCGAGGTCCACACGAATGACCTCGCATGCGAAACCCGCGTCGCACGAGGGGTGGTCTCGATGATGTCCGAGACCGAGAAGAGGCAGAGTTGGAGGCAGAAACACATCGTTGGAGGCTTAGGAGGAGATAAATATCCGACTTATTATATAAATCTACTATTCGATCCATTTGGGGTCGTCACTATACACATCTATACACTATATTAATATACTATATTCATTACGTTTAATCAAGCCCACGATATACAAGCCAGGCACATCAATCTTCACGTGCATGGTGTTGAGGTAGGCATTCAACGGATTCATATGCCCCTCCACCATCTTTGCGACCTGCAGGAAGCTCTCAGCCGTTTTGACACACTAATCGCGATTGCACACAGCAACCTCCATGCCCTGTTCGGCAAAAATACACACACACACACACCATGGTCCCTTCGTGGGCAAACCTGAATCCAAAGGCACAAAACAACCTCACACCAAAGGTCCTCTAAAACATTCCAAAACCAACCAAATAACATCAAGGTCCTCACCACCCAAGGCAACCAGCCTAAAGTTCCATCCTCTTCAACCAGTCACCACGACCCAGGAAAAAAAAGACACACGAAATTTAGAGCAACATAGAGCAACAACCAAACAACCAATCACCACGAACCCCCAAAAAAACATTGTCAGAAACCGCCTGATTGCTGTAGTCCTCTACTCTCTCATCCGTCTGACCTGGGTCGACCACCGCGAGGCGTGAACGGTTTGAGGTGTGCGGAGTGCGTGCGGCGTGGACCGGCGGGGCCGTGGACCGGGGGCTCGGTACCCTCGCCACGGGATTCGGTCGTTCATTTCTTCGAAAAGGAACATAGTAAAAGAAAGCATCGCAGACATACATACATACACCTATACCAGCACCCCTCCAACAGGTCTCCTCTGGCGGCTTTTGGGTCTCTCTATATATATTATAAATATATATATATATATATGTTGGCCCAAAGGATCCATGACGAATAGTTATGAATATACCATCGTCATTAACGGCGCGGTACATGTAAATTGTATGTAACATTATTGTAACAATTCATTATTTGTAACATGTCATAACTATGAACGTCAATCCAGTCCCCTGGATCGCTAAGGATCCAACGGCCCATCTCGGAGACGAGGCGTTGGACTTCCGACACGTGCTCCTGCGATGCTGAACATGGCTGACGGTCAGGCTGGTCGTTACACAGCACAGGTCGGGTCTTATGCATCTTATGCTGTGATGAAAATTCCTGGATCAACAGAATGGCACACACACACACACACACCTCCTGAGTACCTCCACCTCCTAATTCCTGCTACCTGCCATCTTCCCCCAAACCTCACCGGCTCGGATGTTTCGACCGGCCCGTCGTCGTCGTCGTCGTCGTCTCAACCCGCTCCTCCAAGCGACGGCCGAGGCGGTCCACCGCGTCGTCGGTCTTGCGGCTTTGGGCCTCCAACTCCTGGCGCCGACCGGGCGGGTCCAGCGAGGACGGGGGGCTGAGGTGCTCAGAATCTGTAGAGGGGCACTGGAAAGTCTCTGAGTTGATTTCGTTTGTTTGTATATTATATTGTTTGTTTATGAGACTTGCATGGTTAGAGTTCATGCTTTGTACTCCAAATCTTAGTAGTTTTAGGGATGGTTTAGCACATCAAATGTTAAGTCTGTGGAGACCTCAAGTACCTCAAGTAGTGAAGGAGAAGTTGTCTGTCAAAACGTAGGTCGATGGTCCGATAGACCAGCGATCTCACCTGTGCTGATCTCGGATGGATCAGGGGTCCACGGTGGTCCACGGCCATGCAGCTGATCTGGTTTCCTGGGTCAAAACCTGGAGACCCAGTCACCCTGGATAACCCCGGTAGGTTGACCTGAACCCTGGTAGTCTATTCTGTTGACCTCCTCAACCCGGGTCCCCCAGTTTGGACTGCCAGACCCTCATTCATGCCCAGATTTTTTTATCCCAGCATATCCCAAAGACCTGGCCTGGAGTTGCTCAGAGCAGCAAATGCAAAAGCGACATTGAAACGGTTTCAAAGGTTTGATCGTTAATTGGGATGAGTCATAGTTGTATAATTGGGATGGTTCACACATTTCTCACAACTAAACAAAGGAAGAAATCGTGTGAAGCTGCCGTAGTTCATTCTTTTTCGCCCAGTTCTCAAAGCGGGATCAGCATGGATCAGCCTGCTTCTCCACCTAAGGTGAGTGGCGCCCCGCCTCGTTGTTCTGCTGAATCGCGGCTTCGACATCTTCCTGCTGGACTCGAGTGGAATGCAGCTCTTGCCTCAGGTCGAGTGGAAGGCACTCTTGCGTACATCCTTACTACTATATAGTAGCTTCTTGTTACGTTCGCAGTGATGGCCTCCAACCTACTTGCGATGGCCTCCACCGAGCATAGCGTCCTTGTTACCAGTAAGAAGGGCATGGGTGACCTAGAAATTGCATGAATCATATTGGATGTCGTCGAAAACAGATTCTGCCAACGGATGTGGTTTGGTCGTGTCGACTTGCAAGACTTTGGACCTGTCTCGTCAAAATTGCCAGTTTGGCTACTGTCCCTTCAATGTTCTCTAGGGGGTCCCAACCACCACCATTCTGTGATGGACAGGACACCTTTTTTCGTCTATGTCATATGTTGAACTCTCTTCAGCTCATGTTCAGCGGAGGAAGTTTCGGACGTTTCAAGATTCTAAGCCTCCCACACCGAAGCTTGCGTTTGGGCCAGCTCCGCTCTTAAGGACTCACTTGCACGTGAGTGCTCCTCTGAAGGCCAGAGTCACTTCCCGAGGACATGTTCACACTCCAAGTCACCAGTGTCACTCTCCAAGTCACCAGAGTCTCACTGGTGACCACCCATCAATTCTGCCAGAGTTCCACAAATCCTTGCTGGCTGGTGTGTTCAACCCACTTGAAACATACTAGTCAGAGGGTCCAATCGTCACCAAGCAAGGGTTTAAAACCAAAATATCCGAAACCATCACCAGTTCGCAGGAACCTTCCAGTTCGCAGGGCCCCCTTTTCTCTTCCTTCCACCCCGAACCCTGTGTCCCTGTGTATTTTTTTGTCCGGGTCCGGATCCTGATCTTTTTGGAGGAGTTATCCCCCAACTGCTGGTCTTCGTCGTTTCTCGGGAGTGTTTCTCACTGTCTTCGACGTTGGCCTCATCGGGTCCTCGAGGAGCTCTTGGCAAGTTGAGATGCTTCCTTGAGATTCTCCTGAAGCATGTTGCAAGTCCTGCAGCCAAAGCAGATGGATCCAGGTGCAAGAAAAAAGATACGGCTGATCAAGTCAATGGAACCAGAGTGGGGACATCTCGGGATTTTTTTAAAATTTTGTGATCACCCTGGAAACCCTTGGAGTCAAAAGCCCGATTCATTCGAGGGCCCAGATGCTGTTATTTCAAACTTTCTGTGCGTGTGCAGGGGGAATCTTGAGCTGGCCCCAAACTGGTCAATGAGCAAACACCATGACATTCACGCACGCATACATACATATATATCAAATGTCGGACGGAGTCCAAAGCACATGCTTTTGTGAGAAAACTGCTGCAGACCTGTATAGAGGACTGGATCGTCTCATAACGTTGCTCATCTTCTGCATGCCCTTCTCTCCATTTGTCGAAGGCCTGCTAGGTTGTGACTGCCCACTTCAACAGCAGCTGTTTGAATGATGGAAATAATAAGAAGGGCGCCATCTTCACAGCTTCCAATTCCTTTTCCAGACCTGCAAGTGGTTGGACTTCCAAAGATTGCGAGGGCTGCACAAAACTTTCCAGGATCCCTGCCAAGAAGTGATGTCTTCATCAAGGAAACACCTCAGCATGTTCAACGGAACCGTTCTCATAGAATGAGAACCCCGCGCGCCTTATTAAAACCGAATCTCTCCCGACGCTCTTTTAACATGTACGGCCCCCAAAAAACAGAGACACCCAAAATAGATCTATAAATCTATATACAGCAAGTAGGGGTAAATCAATCTGATGGTCTAATTCGTATGACATGGGATACACACAATACCCTCCGTTGTTCAAGCTCTTAAGCCCATGAGACCGGGTCAAACCCCTGACACCGGGAACCTGAGTCCCCCACCATCTGGCTTCTCGGCCTGGCGTGGGAAACCGTCCGGTGTCACCGTCACCCCTGGGTCAACTCCAACAAACCCCGAGAGAAGTCTCCCAGGATCTACTGGATGAAACATGGATCTTCTTCACAGGATCACACTCCAATAGGATCTCACAGGCATGATTCAGCTTTTCAGCCAATGACGAATTGCAGTTAAAATAATTTGACCCTTGACGTCTTCGATTCCTTTCATCACTTCCTATTTGGATACGTGTCTGCACTACGCGATCGATGCGTATCGATGACTTGATGCCTTTATATATATATATATATTTAGGGACTCTGGAAGTCCAGTTGACCATTTTTAAACACATATATTCCGACAATATAGGTGACCCGAGTTCAGGGATGTCCTGTAACCTGTGGTGGTCCCCCAAACATCATCGAACTGGACTTTGATATCGACATCTTAGATCTCTTGTACTACTCCCTGTCAACCCATATATGATCCATCTCGCCCATCCAAAAACGCCCCAAACGCGTGAAAAAACACGTGTCACGCGCCATCCAACCCGCGGAATCCGGCTGAAAAAATGTTGAAACCAATGGCCGCCTCCTCTTCTCGTTCTTCTCTCTCCTCTCCCTCCGGCTCTTCTGCTGAGCCGGGGAGCGGTGAGGCTGCGGACGCCGGCTCCGGCGGCCCGGCGCAATCGATGTGCACTCCAAAGGTTTGGCCTCGAGCGGAGTTGGGCCGAGTTGAGTCCGCTTTGGAGCATTTCTGAAGGGAAGATGAGAGGTGAATGTCTTGATACATATTTGGCACTTTGCAATATGCATGCACTTATTCATGCATATTCCATGGATTTATGCATTCAACACTTGCACCCACCTAAAACACCAATGAGGCCGGCACCTAGCTGACGGAAGACCAGGGCCAAGCAGGCTTCCATGCGCTGAAATGTGTGAGCGCACGTCAAGGCTTGTTGCCTCATGTCGTGTCGAACGGATGAACCTCATGGAACATAAAACTGCAATCCCCTATAGGATCCTGTCGACTTGCAACTAGAGTGTCTTTGAACATACCAAGAACTCTGGCTTCAAATTGCACCCTCACAAAAGGTGCCGAGGCATTCCATCTAGGCATGCACTACCCCTGGCCGCACATTAGCATTGGGGCCCGTTGAACATGTTGATTTGATGATTGCTCGATGATGCAAGAAATGCAATTATTCCATCATGGTAGACAATGTGTGATGATATTTCGTTGACAGGATGGGTGTCTTGGTGGGTGCGTGTGGATGTCTTCTCATGCATTGGCGGATGGTATGGACGGGTGTGTAGCTACCACAAGTCTGTATCCAATATTCTCCAGTCAAAACCGTTTAGCTGATGTTTGTTTGGATAGGGCTAGGGTCTTCGGATGTCTTTGGGTTCCTCTCTTTATGATGGGATATTTATAATTAAAGGTCTTATCAAGAAGTGGTGGATGGTTGGACTTTAGCAGTCCCAGCAACATATTGTTTGAGCGATTCACGGGAAAAGCGTGGAACACCATAGTGGGGATTGGTCGGGATTTTTTTGTGGCAAAAGACGGCAAAAGCACCGCAAAGAATACAAGAACAAAACAGCCCAACATGCACAAAGGAACCACTCGGCTCGTGCGCAACTTCTTCTTCTTCGTCTAACTTCTTGAAAGTTCTGGACGCTTAAACATGGCCAAACACCCTTCACACACCTACCAACACACACCGACCGAACGACCGAACGACCGAACCCTCGGCGCAAACACCGTCCCGACCGTTCGGAGCTCTCCGAGCCTGACGGTGTCGGACTCGGAGGCCAGGTTCTGCTCTCCGTTCAACATCCTCTCTTGCCTTCGGCTCGGCGAACGGCCAACAACGAGCCGAAGGCTTCGGCGTTGGGTTTCTTTCGGGCTTTTTTGGAAGAAGAAGATAAATCCCATGGGGGTCGAACTCGGTCTAACTGTACATTCCTAAAGCACTAAAAGCACAATTTAGTGATGTTGATGTGAAGAAGGGGGTGAAGAAAAAGAAACACACAAACTGCTTTACGAAGGATTTTAGACCAATCTAGAACAGCCTGGACCCTCAACCATTAAGAAGGTTCTGAACTATGGGGATTTCTTTCCTATTGGGCCGATAAACGGCCGATTCCAACCAAAAGTGACCGCTTTCAACCAAAATTGAACGCTCGCGCGCGTCCTGTTCTTTTCTTGATGTGCACACATAAAATGGTCCAGTCAAGTGGAAAACCTATAAGCTACAGTGCAAATAAGTGTGAGCAATTAGAAAGCATGCAACGCTGGCTTGCAGTGTTTGCACGAGGTGATTCTTGTTGGATAGCACGTCCCTCGTTCCCCCCACCATCCTGGGGGAAGCCCCTCTGAGGTTCTATACTGTAGATTCTAGTTGCGATGGAAACGATGAAATCCTGAGAGCCATCGAAAAGCCAAAAGTACCGAAATCCACATTTAGCATACTTTTGCCGGTTTTGCGTGCTCGTTGCGCCCCGGTTTTTGCGTACTATTTGCAGCTTTTTCTACCTTGTTTGGGTGTTTGGCATGAACAAGCAGCTTTGCAATTGAACTATTGCATATCGAGTGAAAACGAATAGCATTAGGTGAGGCTCTTGATTTATATAGTGGGGGCAAACCTTGTCCAAAACCTGAATGCCAGGAATCAGATACTGTTCTGTTCCGACTCTGTGGGAGTGCCTTCAACTTGCGGTTGGTTACACTTTTGGCAAACATCAAGAGTTCAACAAATCACATTGAATCTTCATGAATTGGGCGATTCTCCTTGCTCATCTCCAATTCTTGAACTATTGCGGCCGTTTATTGCGGCTAAGAGTGTTGAAATAACATGACATAACTTAACCTATAAGTTCAGAACATTCTTCACGGCTGAAGCTTCAGGAGGTCAACCTTTCCTTTAATGCCCATTTGACACCTTCCCGCATGACCGAGCTACTTTGAACTTGGAGAGTTTCCCTACCATAAACCTCTATGGCAAGAATGTCAAGAGACAACCCTGTATTGCCACACTACTGAGACTCACTACAGCCACAGCGCAAACCTCACCAAACCTGTTCTACTGCCACAAGACTGGCACACACACTACTGCCACAGCAAAGCCTCTTCCTATCACACTAATCCCGAGTACCTATTAAACAACGAACCCCAAATAAAAAAAGGTCATGTCGGATCCCCCTAAATACGGTTTATTGTTTTTAATTTACCGCCCTTTCAAACCGCTACTAAACTACAAACATTGCCGATTTTGGAGGAGTATTTTTTATTAGGTTCCAAAAACAACCGTGACTGCCCACCTCTGTCCGCCCTGTCTATCCACCTTTCCAAAGCTTTATATAGTTTTTTTTTGGGGGGGCTAGCATATACCCTGGAAGTCCAAAGACTATACTTTTCCATAGTGAAGTAAAGGACAGTCCCTTTCAGGCACCCTAAAGACCATTCTTTTTGTAGTCTTTGACTCCCAGGGTATATATATATAGTTGTTAGTCTAATGAAGAATCATTATTCTAATAAAGGTTTTTGTAGGGGAAGAGGAAGACCCTTCGATCTGGAGGTTTTTTGAATTTTTGGTGTGAGTTTAATAAAGGATGTTATTAAACAAAAACAAACATCCTGGGTGACTTTTTGGTTTTGAAGCTCTTCCCAGGTGACCCTATTTTTGACCCCCCCGATTTCAGGGACCCCCGATTAAAAAACATGCGACAGAGGTTTCCTTATTAGGGGGGGGGGCTGTGTTTTTTAATAGGTGGACAGGATTATTTCCACAGCACTTTTCTCACCCGAACGGGCCTGTTTTTTTAGACTGCATGTCGGTGCCACCCACCCGAAAAACCATCCCAAAGCACTAGCACTGTCGTGGTCGTCGGATGTGGGAACCTTCTCAGTGTGTTTTGTTCGGAACCTGACACTGGGCATCACTGGGCTCTCTGCAATGATCCAAGATTGTGTTCCATTGATGTAAGCTTCTCCTGCAAAGAAAAAAGAACGACAGAAACGGCCATCCAACAGCGCAGTCAGAAAACAGCTTCGGCTTGTTCCTCGCTGTGTCACGGACGCAAAACCGGGTCAAGGACCTCCCTTTTTGGGAACAGATCAGGCCCAAAAAACCGGGAGTGGTCGGTGCTCGGGCCCGGGGAGTGGTCTGAGTCTAGTCGGGTCTGGTCAGGAAACTTGGCCACCGATGGTCCGCGGCCCCGCTCGGTGGGAGGACGTGGCAACGTGACCAAGCCGCACCAGCCCGCTCGGTGGCACTGCTGTTTTAGGGCGTCTCTGGGACACGAGTCTCCGGGACACCCATCCTTCAACCCCGTCCAGTCAGGTCTCGGCTGTTCTGAACGCAGCCCGTTGCGTCAACCTATGAGATCCTATGAGGTGGGTGGAATCGTTGGTTCCCCAAAAGGCAGAATGGGATCTGCCCTGGTGAGAAGATTGACTAAGGTCTCTTTTCCCGGTGTCCATCCGTAACTTACAACGTTACAATATGACAATATGATACAATATGTTAGAATACATCAGAATTGATCAGAATTGTATAGAATTGTTCAATCTCTCCTGTCCGTTTGGTGCTGTCCTCCATTTTGGTCAGGAACTCAGTTTGGCTCTTCGCACGCCTCACAATTGCCCAGAATTGAGGCCGGATCGTGGCGTGATCCGCACGGCATTCGTGTCATTGGTACGTCAAGTGAAGTTGACGTCGAAACTCTGAGTACCAGGCGATTCGTAGAAGTCGGCCCACTTTTTGATCGCAAACCTTGCACCACGCAGTTGGAGAACCAGGAAAAGCTACGAAAAGAGGGGTTTGGACAAGGAAAGCTCCGAATTTTACTCCCTGCGGACGTGAGCTGACACACATGACTGGATGTCCCCCTTGACCTCCCTTGACTGTGGAATGACTGGATCTTCCAACGACCAAACAATTCTGCAAGGACAAAACAGGTATAAGAAAGGAAGGTCCGGAAAAAAAGACGCCTGAATCATCCTGAAGCAATGAACGTGAGTGGCTTTTCGCTCACTCAGCAGTGATTTGGTTCCCGAAAAAATCGCGTTCCTTCCCCAAAGACGCCATGTCATCCAGTTCGACCGTCTTCGAAGTTGATCAACAAAATAACAGCATGCGCCCGCCATGCTGTGCCTATAGGGTGTTCATCCTGTAGGGTTTCGTTCGCTTTTGGGCTCCGACATGTTGGTATTCGTTGTCTGAAAGGACTTGAAGACCATCGGCGGGATATTCTCCCAGCTGTCCTTGTCAAGCCTCGCTACGTCCGAGGGCGGAGCTGCAAGAAACACATCATGTGAAGGAACCCCTGGAAAAGGATTCTCATCAAAATGATATTTTCAGGTTCTATAGGTTCGGTTCAACATGGTTCAACTTACCCGGTGTGACAAATCAAACGGCCTAGAAGAACTATATATGGAACATTATGGAACTAAGGTACGGACCCCTGAGTTCCCTGGAGTTCCCTGAGCCTCCAACACCATTTTCGAAATGTTGAGGCTCGCCATGTCTACGGCTGGCTTCTCGAGATGTTGCTTTGATCTCGTGCAAGCATGCGCGTGTCATGAGGGGTACTTCACCAGCTGTGACTCCTTGCGAGCTTGCCATAGCTTCATTACCCCTGATTTCAGCATGAACCCATGACCTGGATCACTGCAAGGTCTCATGGAAGGTCTAGTGGGCATGCGGCATGCCATGAACAAGTCTGTTGAGACATCGTTCGTCTGCGAAGCACTGCATGTCGACGACGAGATGTCACCGAGCACTGCACCAGCGCGGTGCCCGGCGGTGTTCAATCCTAGACTTCGTTCATGCCAAGTCCAGCGACCGCAGCGCTGGTACAAGTGCCGAACACCTCTGCAAGGGCGCAGCGTCGGACCTTTTTCTCGCGAAAAAGAAGCTGCGATGAGGTGCTTGCTTGACAAGTACCTGAGTTCTTTTGCGACGAGACGTGCTGCGGCGACGTTTCCGTGCTCAGCTCACAAAACGCAAATGCAGTCCAAAGCTGCCATTCTCAGCGTCCAACCGTGCCCAACGCTGCCCAAACGCGCGCTCGCATGAGCTGCTACCTCCTTCAAGGTTCAGCCTGGTTGGCTGCAGAAATAGCACACCCCGAATCTTGCGACATAACTTAATTAAATGAGGCTTCCCAAACACGACTAATGGGACTGCCATAGGACTGCCGCCCCATTGACCCCTGTTCAACCACCCCTGGCCGTTTCTCGGCAGTCCGAACTGGCAGTCCCAGACGGGTCGTGTCTGGGCTTGTTGAGACATGTTGAGACATGTTGAAACATTGGATTAAACAACTACCACAACCGCTGCTTGCTGGGGACGTTGCGGTCAAACATACGGGGATCCGTTGAACTCACGCGATCCGATCCGCACGGAGCGGAGGCACCACGGAGCCGTTGGGGGAGAGAGAGAGAGAGAGGGAGAGAGTATGGGAGGCAAGGAAGGGAAAGCGAGGGATGGATGGAGAAGCAAATCCTCTCTGCTTCATGCTTTTGGCTGCAGACGCGGAGCCTGCCTCTGGAGCTTGCTACCAAAGATTGAGGGTGTCCACTTCACGCGAATTCAGACTTCATGTGAGTGTTTGTTCCACTCTCAGCATACATCCTTAATTATATATACTTGCCATGTAAAAAGGAACCATACAAAAGAACCGTTGTGCCGACTGTGCTGGTCTCTTCGGAGACTGGTCTCCCAGCCGGACAGATTCGACACCGGTGCACGGCCTTGCTCTACTGGAGTTTCAATCGCAGCCCACCTGTCGAGGGATGGATCTTCCTCTTTGTGCCCGGAAAACCCTCGACAATCTATGTAACTGGAATCTATATATATATACACATAATATTGATATATATATATATAGACCATGTTATAGACTACTATAGACCCCTCAAAGCACCCCAATGCAGGTAAATATTCCAGACGTGGATGGTCTGGGGACGCTGTACAATGAAGCACTCGTCTTTGATGAAAAGTGCCCATCTGCTGCTGATGTTCCTGGATAGGAAGAATGCACACTTCAAGAGAGTCACATCCAGGTTTCGCCGAAAAGCAATGTGACGTCTGGGTTGGTTTGGCCTCAGCCTCATCGTTCATGTCACAGTAGCAAGACTCAGACTATGTAACACCCAAACGCTCGTGGACCCTCCTAAGGAGGGGGGCCAAATGGGACTCTTAGATTTGTAGGATTTGAAGGACCAAGGCCTGTTTTGAGCGTTTGGACCATAAACCTTATATACTTTACTTACATTATTGCTGCGATCCTTTGAAGCACTGAGTGTCAAAAAGGGTCCATTCCACCGAACGGAAAAGAAACGCACAGGGCGCCTAATGTAGACTCTTGATTTATAAACCACCTCGAATTGAATTGAACAACTTCGATTCTTCAATTGGGAGGTTTAATAATCAAGAGTCTGCATTACTATTCATTAGAGCATATTAGGGCCATTTTTGGAGTTGGCTGTGGGTCGTGGCAGCACCGGCCGGGCACGATAGCTAGCACTGATCTGGAAGATCTGGTCGTGTAGCGTGGTCGACGGTGGAGCGCCAGGTGGCCGAGCTCCAGGGTGAACGACCCATCCCCTGGTTCGAATCTCTAAGACTATTAGACCAGTCTTTTGAACTGACATCAGCTGCAGGTACTGCAGGTTTGTCTGCCTGCCAAAAAAAGGCGTTCCAGGTGAGGCTTTTCAGGGAAGGACAGCAATGCTATTGAACCACCTGTTGCAGCGAATCATCATGACTCATCTAAAGATTCTCTTCATGAGATGATGTGGCCATATGTAGCCGGATGGACTTCACACACCTTGGGACTTCAGACACCTGGGTCTCCGTTGAAGTTGCTTCGGATCACTCCAGTCGAAGGGGCGAAAGATCCCGTGGGGTCCTTGACGGGGTCCACCCGGCCACCCGGCGAGCCCTGCAGGGCGAGGTCGGCACCCCACCCCCTTCGAGCGAAGGTCGCCAGCGACGGCACCTGCTCTTCCACCTCTTGGAGCCTTCGCTGCAGTCCTCGGACCGTTGCTGAGGCTATTTTGGTCGATGCGGACGGGCCGCGTGATGAAACCTCGTTTAGTGTCTGGGATATGGCTGTGCAGGTCAAAACCTGGAGCGCCAAACCCTTCTCCAGTTTTGACCCACACCGGTCAACATGTCAAAATGATCGAGTTCCAAAGGACACCCAAATAGCGGAAAACATGCGCGTCCACGTCCATCCTAAATAGCCATCACAATCTTCGACCATCCCCCAAAATGATGAGAACATATGAGAACCGTTCGTGTTCACGACTCAACGCAACACAGCACACACCAAACATGTCAAAACCGTCACCGGCCTTGACCCAATCCAATTACCCATCCTGGCCGCACCACCAACTTAAAAGACAAACCACACACATTTAGTATACTTATATAACTTATATACTTATATACAGATATATACAGTGTCGCAAAAAAAGACCGGTCGTTCTGTCTGAAATGGCAGGGCACCGAGGAGTTGCTGCTGCAAAGAGGTCTTCTCCCCTTTCAGTTGCGTGATCTCAGCACGGGTCCGCCCAGCGGGGTCCGCCGGAGTCGGGCGGTTCCGCAGCAGCGAACCAAAAGACAGATACAAAAAAAAGTACCTGCATATATGTATACAAGGACCCTCCTGTCGGGTGTCTATTTATAGCCCCTTAGCTGTGATTCGGGGTGTCCATTAACCACCCCGACTGCGGGTCCGGGTATATATATATATATATGAGAGACTGTGGTTAAGGTAAGCTGGTTGTGGTCAAGGTAACCTGGTCGTGGTTAAATGCTAGTTTCGCATATATAGTGACACAAAGTATGAACATGTCTATAGATGCATCATTCTCACAAATCACAAAATAACACAACAACACACAACACACACATATATATATATACACTGTGTATGTGTCTATATATAATATATAATTTATAAACATATATAAATATAGATTAATATAAATAGATAAACAAATATATATATATACGATGCACCTGTAAAAGAACATGTCTGAACAAGAAATGACATTGCACCACCCATCTGACACATGCAACCACCTCGGACACAACAATAAACCCGGGTAACTTTAATCTACTTCACACCGCAACCTACAGAACAAACATGGCAACGACAACAACGTCAACGTTCATGTCGCATGTTCATGTCGTTTTGGTGCTTCAGTCTCAATGTGAGCACTACAGTAGCAATCCAGGCACCCTGCCTGCTGTTGCAAGCGTTGATTCTCTGCCTGCAAAGAAGCCGCTCAAGCCGCACTCAGAAACAGAAAAAAACGGGATGCATGGACAACACAAGGTGTGTGTTGTCCAAGCCTGCCTTGAGTAGCTTCATGGGCACAGGTGATTTCATCGTTTCGTTTAAACATATCATCGCGTGGTGGGTGATCCAAAGACTTTCACCCAAGCCAGCCCATGCTCTTTCACATCCCATATCTGACCGGACCAGAACACGTAGCGAGCGACATCCGTCGCCCAAAACAGTCCATGCAGGCGCGCCACCGCGGCCGCGCGCCCCGCACCTTTTGTTGAATAAAATGCCTCTTGACCTAGCCGAGTCGAGGAAAATCAAGGACCAAGGTCAAGGCAATCATTGACCTTTTAGGAATAGAGGGGTCGATGATGCCAGGTACCAAATTACCTGCTTGTTCACCTGGCGGGTATCCCCTCTCACGGGTGCGTCCGTCGTGCATCGAGTCTGGCGGATTCAGCGTCGCACGCGGCGCGCGGCGCGCGTGTTCTCCGTCCTCATCTTGCAGCCGCTGGACATCACCAACCATGGTCCTCTTCAGTTCCTCCCAAAAACCGCTTTTGGACACAGAAATCAGCTGGGCAAAGAATACATGACAAAAGAAAAGTCCAAAGATCGCAAAGGAACCTGTAAATACAACAAAATATACAAAATATAACAAAGGATATCCAGCACTTTTGCACCTGCTCATGCCCAACTTGCTGTTTGGAGTTCCATCTACACACAAACGGCAATAGTTTGTGCTAATGTTCTCAATGGTGCTGGATGTCCACCATATTCTGGTACCATCCAATGCCATGACGAGCACATGGAAGGGACGACGAAGACCGTCCAAAAACCAGACCGGTCCCTCCTGAAGTTGACCTTGGTAATGTTCCTCGACGCCGGCCTGTGAGGAAAATCCGATGTGAGCACACATGATCACATCATGAACCGGCCGACATCACTTGACCCTTCCGACATCTTTGTGAAACAACGTCACGTTCCGTGCAGTGCAAACCACCCTGTGCGACACGACCCGTCACTGCCAGTTCGGACTGGCCAGGGGTGGTTGACTGGGGGTCAATCGGCATGCAGTCCCAGACGGGTCGTGTCAGGGACCGGTTGAGTCATCCGAAATCGGGGCCATGCCATCCACAGATCCATGTACACTCTGACGAACACATCACATGGTTACGTGGACGTCCTGGTCACTTGGAAGACTACTTTCCTCTACTTTCCACGTGGTGAACTCCACTTCCATGTTAGTGAGTCAGAGTGTAATCATGATTCCTTCAGGGAGTGTATTGCGTTAGCCATCTTTGACAGACGTGTTTTATCTTGTTTTGCCATCCCAAACGGTCAAACCGGTCACATCTGCAACAGTGGGTCCCCTGAGGTTCACCTCTAGTTTAAGTGGTCAAGTGGGAGTGCAAATGGAGATCCTCAGTTGGATCCCCTTTTCACAAAGCAGAGAATCAGAAGACCATCCGAACCCCAGGCGAAACATTGGCCAAACCGGTCTTCCTCTTCTCCTTTCTAACACGCCTACCTGGGGTGTACTGTACGTAGCAGCTCTCCACCGATCGCATAAAACTTTTGGAATCACCTATATGTATATATCCCTAGGCTTCCAAGACCATGAAAAGAGGGTTGACCTGATTGTGTAGTGCGGTAAAGACCATTATATAAATCAATGGTGGTTGGAACGGGTATGCGTGTCTCAGAACACGTTTCGCACCCAGTAGGCCGCAACTTGGCATCTCTATTTGTGCACCCACATCGACGATATAGAAGGTATTAAGATGTAATCAATATCATCTCATATTCTCAGAGTCTCTGGATATCCCTGATCTCTAACAGATTGTTCAATCTTCTTTCTGCACTCCCTCTGGCTTTGTGGGCCCCTGGTCATCTTCTCTCCCTCCTTGCGGAAGTTTCTTCATTGCTCTGACTTCTGACACTCCCGTGTAGGTCGAGTATGTCGAATTTCTTTGCAGGAATGGATTCAACCCAATGAGGCATACCCAAAACAGAAGGGGGCAAGGCAATCCAACATTCACCAGCTCAAGTAATGCCACTCTGTCCATGCTTTCCACCCAAAACTGCTTTCTAGAGAGGTCATTGATTTGCTTGGCCTGAGTCCCCCAAAACCACCATATTTAAGGATTTGTTAAGGATTTGACACCGGGTCCGTCGACCGGGCACGTCGCAACGGCGAAAAAGGACACGACCAGACGCGACCTGTCTGGGACTGGAATTTATTTACATTCACATGACATTGGGGTGGTGATGGGTGGGGGTCAATGGGGCAATCTTGTCCGGTCGGGACATGACGGGACACATTTGGTCTGCGAACGAACTTCCGCACCTTATCGTTTCGGAGGCTCTCGATCTCTTGCCGTTGAGCTGCGAGCTCCTGGGCGACCGACCGGTCAACCCAGGGGTTGGGGTGAGTGGGAGGGGTGCTTAGGAGCACAGCTTAACACAGCTTTCAGGGATCTTTTTTCTTAAGAGAGACTCATCAGTGAATGCCTTCAAAATAATTTTGAAAACATGTCATGGGACGGTAATTGCTTTGATTGGTATGTCGTTGACTGTGTCTACTCCCGCTCTGCTCAGCGTTGCTACGCCGACGCTGGTGCTTTCCGATCTCTGGGTGTCATGAAACCAGCGTTTTCGAACAAAACGAACGGAGGTTCAGAAGAAAACATGTAATGGTTGTCTCTTTCTAACCCAAACCTCCAAAGTTTTGGGGGGAACCTCCCAGGTTTTTGCTTCCAACTGGCGTTCCCCCTGACACCAAGAAAACCATGCCCAATCAACGGTACTGCCCGCCACCATTGGCTCATGGGTTCTGCTTTCATGCCCCCGCCTCATTTTGCATGGAGATAAAATCCTCGAGAGAGGCAAGCTTCCCCTTGAGCCTGGCAGTGAGACATTGTGATACACGTCAAACTTTCCAAGTGGGTTTGTATTAACATAGGGAGACCCTCCCAACGCAAGAAGGAAACTGGACCAGTCTACCCAGCCAGGATGTCTACCCAGCCATGGAGTCTACCCAGCCAAGGGGTCTCCCAACACGCCCAAGCTTTAGTGCTTACCAATATCATCCAATCCTGTCGGGGCTGTCATGGACGACCCCGACGAGTCTGGACCCGACTGCTGCCAAGGGACCCAGTAGGGCCGCCGTCCTGAGAGCGTCTTGCTTCAACGGACGTGCCAGTCGCGCACCGCTCGCGACTGGACGTGTTTGAGCGCTTCGCTTTCTGAGGCTGCAGCTCCATTTCCAGACATCATCATGGCACCCAAAACCCACAACCGGAGCTTGGTGGAAAAACCGGCCTAATGCCACTAACTGAGCCAAATCACAAGAGACACGTTTCAGGCTTAGTCTCAACTGTTCCCACGTAGGAATATGAGATTGAGGGATGTGTCCAGGTCCAGCTCTCATGCATTCTTGTATTTAAGTCGTTCAATTCTAGCAGAATGAAATAGTACAGCCAAAATCTGATAGAAATTGATAGAATAATGCAGAAATCTCTACCCAAGATAGAAGTCGAGCAAAAGAACAACCCGGCGCTCCAGTAAGACTCCATCTCCTACCAGTTACATCAAGAGATTCACTATTTAAAAAGAACACTTGAAGAACTCAGGCACGCTTCTTCTTTTCAATTTGTTTATCACATTACTGCACGGTTGCAGGGTGCAGCATGAAGTCGGCTGGAACACTCCTTAGTTGTCCAACTGAATACGAGAGCCGCATGTTCGCAGGTTTCGTTGAAGCAAAGACATGCTAACCCAGACACTCCATGGGACTGCCATATATGCCGCCCTATTGACCCATATTGACCCCCATTCAACCACCCCAACTGATTGGCATATGTGGCAGCCCCATGGAGTGTCTGGGTAAGACAATGAATTAGTTGTGGGCCAGAACAACACATCGAAAACACCAGGTGAGTTGATAGTCTATCCCCTTACTCTATATCCTTTGGGCTGCCATTTTAGACTTTAAATATAGGGATTTGTCGTTTATATGTCGTTTATATAGTAGTAAACAGATCGCCAAGGCATTCACTATAAAATGATTTAACCAACCTTTTTGCAACATGTGACAACAACACAGCAAAGTGGCCTCTTGGCAAGATTGCCCGGAAGATGTATTCCTCATAAGAATGAGTTGAAACACATGTGTGTTTTACAAAATGCTTGAACCAGCCTGGCAACAATACTTTTTAGGAAAAACTGATTTGGGAAAGTGCTTGCCTCACGCTTGCTCGTCTTAGAAACTACAATATAGAAAAGCCAACAATCCAAACGCATCCAAACCAGAACATGAACATGAACGCATCCACATACTGCGAGTTCCATGAACATCTAGCTTGTTTTGAGCTTGTTTTCATATAATGAATGACGATTTAACCGTTCACCTGGAATCTATCTTGCCACAAGTAGCTGTTTACAATAAAAATATAGCATCCAAGCTTTCCAATACTTTTCTTACTTCTGTTGTGCCTTTCCCGATTCCGCTCAGCTTGAACCCAGATTTATCATGTTATAACATCATTGCCCTTTCAGGAACCAGTTCTTTTTTGCTTCAAGCCCATCAAGGGGACTTTATGAACTACGGGTCGGTTTGCTCATTCTATAGGGCCAAAGGTTCTTCATGTGGATTTGATCTTCCATCATATTCTACGTAGGTAATCTAGTTGTTGCATGTTATTGTTCATTCAGTGGGTTGATCAGTCCAGGACTTTTGACCCACACCCACATGAACTGTGGCCATTCTCTTTTCCTACAAATGGATGCACCAGTGGCACTCCCCATCGTTGGTTCTTCAGGTACGACCAGAGATGGGCCCCATCCAGCCTCACCCATCGACTGACACGGATCCCATCCGATCCCTGACCTCCACGGTGGATGGCCGTCCCGCCACAGCTCCCACCGGGCTTTCACCGCTCCGTGTTCGATCCCAGCGGCCATCCGAAGCCGAAGACGATCCGCGGCGGGCCCCGAATGGCATTGGTGGCATGGAGCTCCTGGAACAAGAAGCTACTATGGTAACCAAGGGCATTGCTACGAACGTCACATGATACGGCAACCGTCTTCGCGACGTGACCGCTTTCGGTGTCGGTTGGTGCGCTCCTGGGAGGCGAAGAAGATCCAGGCATCGCCCTCCTCCACAGGGACGGTCCTCGGGGGATGGTTTAAGTAGCACTGGCCATGGTGGATCCATTGGGAGTCCAATGGGATCTGGAGGCGAGCTGTAGTTCAAGAAGGAATCCTGGATCTCAGGTAGAACATGGATGAACATGGCATATATATATATAATAACTGTAGACAGCTACTGTTCTTCTTGGGTTCTTGTTCAATGCCCATGGTAATAGTTTTTCTGTTTGTGAGCATGGCCAAGGAAATGGAAGATTGGATGTGATTGGTGTCGATGTTGATTCCTGAACTTCAAAAGGACACCATAAAACCTTGCTATTATAGAATACAATGGAGGACAATCTAGTTTCTTTGACATCATAAATATAATCAGTTCAAGTTCAGAAAAGCAACCACTGCTTGGGCCCTTCCTGTTTCTTTTTCCATGGAACAAACAGACAATCTCCCCTCTTCACCTCCCCTCTTCACCCGACACTGGCCCGACACTAAGGACTTGGCTGGCCGGCAATGATCGGTTGCCCGGACCTGTGGCAGCCCGTCGCGTTAAGGACGATCGCTCGGGTCGCCGTGCCTCGACTGGTGGGCCGAAAAAAGACCACGGGCCCGTCTTGGGCGGCAGAGCACGCATCATTTGGGCCCTTTAGGGTTTAGGCCCCTTAAGGGGCCAGGGGCTTAAGCCAGGGTTAAAGGCTTAAGCTTTCTTTCAGAACACTAAGGCTTTGACCCTTCGAAGTGAACAAATGAGATGCCGCCGGGTCGGTCACGAAAGTTAGGTTGATTGAAGTTCGGTCGAGTTCGGTCCTGGTGGAAGACTCCTTTACAACCCAATGGTTTTGGAGTTCCATGTGGGTCTCATAGGTTTGGGCGACCTGAAGACTTCAACGTCCATGCGGTCTCTGGGCATGTTCGGAACCGCTACAAGTTGGATCGGTTGGATTCGGTTGGATCACCCTTTTGTTGAACATCCACCCAATCTGACTGGCATTGCTAGTCATATTTCACACCCAAGCCATGGCCTTGTGCGGTTCTGTTTGGGGTCATGATGGCTCCATCATTCCATCTGACGATCCAACGCGTCCTTCCATCCGTTCGATCAAACACCTTCGTGGAAAGCATGCTTTTCGATGGGTCTCTCCCCGGGCTCTCGGTGTCGCCTGTCCATCTGCACCACAGCGTTGGCCCGCAAATGTGCCCGGGAGCCTGGGAGTTGGCCGTTGAGCCGTAGCAAGCGGCGCCATCCGTTGCTTCTGAGGTAATTTTTTGTGGCTCCGGGAAAAAGATGGTGTCGTCCGGAATGGACACCTGAAGCAATTGGCAATCCTCGACTTTGTCCGTGATTCTTCTACCTCACATGTCCTGCCGCACATGCCACGATAGAGACCTCGCGCGCAGATCGACCTGGTTGGCTCTCCGACCCACCCGTCGAGCGGTCCGGGCCCGAACCAATCCCCACATCTCCGGCCGTCGTGACGGTTCCGCGGGACGGTTCCGCGTGAGCGGTTCCGGTCCGCAAGGGTGACATGATCGGTCTCGACTGCGGAGACCTCATCCAACCCCAAGGTACACCGGGAGGAGTACCTGGAGGAGTCTCGGAGTCTCTGGCCTGCTGGGTACTTGTCGCGGTGTTCATGGATGAAGCCATTGGGCTCGATATAGGAGCAAACTCGGCCCAGGGTCTCATCGCGAGGCCTAGGAGACGAACAAACATTGGCGCAAAAATGGCACTGAACATGCCAGCAACATGAGGGTAGTGCGCCCTAGCATCACATTGAACATCATTGAATGCCGTGACGATTTTGTAGATAGTCTTGCTTCTCTAGCCTAGACTGTGACTTGATATATAATTGCATCATAATTGACCATTCGCTTCAGGTACTTGCAAAAGTGTTGAACCTTTCTGAAGACATCAAGTTTCATAGGCATGAAAGCTAAATCGATGGTTTTAGCTATAAAACATGGTGTTTTCGCAAACATTCACAAACAAACACCACTTTGCTTGGTCTTGGATGTGATTTCAGCAGTGGTGAATTTGAACTTCTCCTCGCACCTCGTGGATTCGCAGCTTATCGAGAGTAGAAGATGTCAGAGGGACAAAGGATCTGTGTCAAGTTGGCTGTCTGATCTGTCTGGTTCCGGCAAGTGTTCTCTTCATTTATCTGCACTTTCGTTGTCTTTCCGTCACTTTCGGCTTCGGTGGTACGTGGTGGTCTCAAATCGGCTCGCTGCCAACCCTGAAACGAATCATACCAGAATTCGATCTCTCCCGCAAAACGAAGACCCTCCCTCGCCTGCCCTTCAACCCCATCACAGCCATCTCCAGCCGCTGGGTCAGAGCCTCATCAGTGAAGGATGGACTGCTACGGCTACGGTTCCCAGGGCGTGATTACCTGGTTCCACCGGCGAGGGCTCCTGCCTCGATCAAGGTGTCGACCCCACCAGTGGCGTCTAAGCGCCGGAAGAAGCGGTGTGGTCCTGCAAGGCGGTTTCCAGAAGATAGATTGTAGGGCACAGCACGGCATAGTTGGACACAGCTGGGAGCCAACTTGGCAAACTTCTGGCCTGCTGGATTTGGTAGTAATCTGCCATGCCTGGGCGGCATCCAAGGCTGCTCTATAAGGATGGAAGAATCCTCTATACCTCATGCCATTCGGCCGGTTTCACCCAACCAGGAACCGAACACATGAATAGAAAAACCTGCGTTAAGCCTTCCGTTCCGAATCGTGTTGAGCTCTCAGCGCTTTCTGCGCAATGGCTGACTTCAACAGCTCCAATCGTTCGGCCTGCAAACTCTCAACGGTAAACCTGCATGTTTCAATGTGGTCTGACACCAATAATCTGATCTTGTAACAAAAAACTGTCTCTAAAACAGACCTTCAGAACCCCCGCTGCCGCCTCAGATAGAAACTGCTTCAAAACCAACCACGGCTTTGGTGGTTCTGGCCTCGCAGCAGTCTCTTTTGCGGGTTCACCCGTCTCCCAAATCACAATGCGTCCGCTCTAGCGGGCGCGCGGGTGCCTCAAGGACTGCCATCGGCAGTTTTGGACTCGCAACCTGGATAGCGCTAGGCCGAGGGAACAAGGACGACGCCTCTTTTTGGGGAGCTCATGATGAACATCTTGGAGGTGGAAATCCATGGGTTTCCTGGATGTCAGTGTGGGCCACGTTCCAAATGAAGTAAAATGAGTCATTACAGATCCACAAGTGGCTGAAACGACGCACCTGCAATGCTGTCTGGGCCATGCAGATCTTCGATGACAGTGAGCTGCAGCTGTGATCTTCGAACGACACGGTCCTGTCGCTGCGCGTGGTTCAGACAGTGTTCAGTCACAGGAAAAGGAGCAAGCAAAATGGTGGACTTTCTGCTTGATACTGAAACCTGCTGAAACCATTCTCAAACCATGACTCACGCTGCGAAGTAAGTGGTCCAAAGCAGCTGATTTGCTGATTCCTAAAACTCTCACAACATCTCACAACCATTAGATGAACTTAGCAGATTTTGGAAGTGGGTTGGGCATAATGGAGGCTGAAAATGTTGGAGGAGCGATCTTTTGCTTCTTCCTTTTTCGAACACCATAAACCTGGGTTAAACTATGGGCTTTGGCTTGGTCTTCCAAATTTCAAGACACATCACAACTCAGCGACCCTAGCGTGTCGTCAAGGGCTGGGCCATTCTCATTTGTTTCATTGTGTTTAAAACAAATATTTTGATCCTATATAGTTGCCAGGCACCGTGTGGCGTGTCGCGTGTGGGGCTGGTGGCCCACCCGCATGTCCAGTCCGAAATTCTGGCATCATTCCAGTTCGATCCAATCGACGTCTCCTCCAAACCCATCCAGGCCCCTCAAAAAAAAGGACCTCTCACCCACAATCCAGACCCTGAAACACCCACAGCTGGTGGGAAGGTACCCTGGTTGTTCTTTTTCTGTACCTTCCCACCCAGAACAAACACGACCAGGTCCGATGAGGTGAACACCGGACCCAATGATGGATGCTCCGGCCGCCCTCCTTCCGCTTCGAACATGGGGGCGGTGGACGGGCACCACGGTGGACGGGGTATGGGAGAGGGAAGTTGGAAGCGGAGTCCGTGTCTCAAGGGTCTGAGAGTTGTCTCAAGGGTCTTGAGAGTTCTCATGAGTTCTCTGATGAGAAATCCAGATTCCTTTTTCCTTGGTGCGGGGGGTCAAGCGTTGATGATGTTCCTCTGCAACGGGATGTCAACAGGACAATGCTCCTTGGATGTCGACGCACATTCTGAATCATTTCAAAACCTCAAGCTATAGCTGTATATGTTTTACACGACGTTAAACATATACTTGAGCCAAGAGCTGCAAAACAATGGACATGGCATTCGTTTTGACATTTTGACCTGTCTGGAAACCAAAAAACAAAAACATGGCTCGACACAGAAACAAACTCAAAGCAGAACCACATGACGTCACACTACTAGTCACATGTCACGCTCACGCTTCTTGTCCCCCTAATCCCGCTTGAGCGGTGTGACGTCACGATGTCACATGTGAGGGTGTCAGCGGGGTGTCACACGTCCAATCCTAGGATTCCAATCACCATGATCATTCTATAGGGCTGAATCTCGAACAATTATACCCAAACGCTCCATGTACCTACATTGACCCCTCAAACCACCCCAATGTAGGCATATATACCATACATGGAGCGTCTGGGATATATTGTTTTACATGGTTTTAGGATTTTGCACTAAACACCAGGTCAACCAATGTTACATCGCTTTACAGTAAATGTTCTTTGCAAGGATCCCTGTGCAAGAATTCCGTATGCACGAACTCGCAACATGTCCCAACGAGGAGAGGTGACTGTGGATGGCATCCCGCAGAATTCGTGGAGTTCCGAGTCGTGCGGTTTCGACCGGTGGGAAGACCCATTCGTCTCATCGTCTCATCGTCTCGTCTCACGCAGTGGAGCGCCGGAGTGGGCGGTTTTTCTCGTCCCGTCACGCAGTCCCGGCACTGTGACTCAGGCGGTTTCAGCGGACTCTTCACGGGAGCCGTCACCTTGACCAGCTGCCGTTGACCTCGGGCTCAGTCGACCTCGCTAGTTGAGCTCCGCTAAAGAGGCGAATTTGCCTCAGTCCTTCGCGTCCTTCATCTTCAGGTGTGCTTGGAGAGCAGTGCGGGCCGCCTGACAGATCGTTTGACACGGTTGACACGTGTGGTTTTCTGAGAAACAGTTGGCACGAAGGACGTCTGCGCAGTCACGCTCAGGCGCGCAGTCACGTCTGCATAGGAGGAGTCTGCTTTGGTGCCGAATCAGTTCAACATGCAACACTGCAACACTGGTTGGATCTTGGTGGATGTCAGAATGAAGGAGTAGGAACCCAATCAAAAGGTTTTGACTATATATATTATTATATAAAATTGATTGAGATAATAAGATCACAAACTATCTTCGTTAAATTTGGGCTAGGTTCAAACAATCCCAGAGAAGTTTGGGGTTAAGGTCGATGGTCTTTCGCCCTTCGAATGGAAAGGGGCGTTTGGGTCCATCGGGTCCGGATGGGAAGATCGACCAGTCCGCGATGGGAAAACGCCCCGGTGTCGCGTCCATCGCTGCCAGGAACCTCAACAGATGAGGCATCCAGTGCAGGAAGCGCACTCACAAAGAGACGTGCTGCACCACCTCGTTGGAACGACGCATCCGAAGGTTTGGAATGACGACATGTGTGGGTCGGGACTGGTGATGACTGGTGTTTTCGGGGGTGGAAGAGGAAAAGAATTGAATCACCATTTTGGGTGCTGCCTGACATTATACGATACTCTAAATATATCCGCCGACCCCGGCCTATAGCCAAAGCCTAGGCGGGGAGGCGCCTGGGACACCGCAGGGTGAAGCAGTTGGCCAAGCCTAGCAGAACCCTTCAAGCACTTCCAAAGGCGCAGGATGCAGCAGTTGGCCAAGCCTAGCAGAACCCTTCCAAGCACTTCCAAAGGCCTGTCCGAGGCCTCACCAGCTGGCCGGCCTGTTGCGGCCTCTCTGTGGCCTGTCCGAAGCCTGCCTCCTCTCTTCTTATGGGCTTCCGAAGGCGACGTTTAGGCATTTTGGACCGCCTTCAAAAGCTTTGCGGCCTCTTGCGGCCTCTCTGTGGCCTGTCCGAAGCTTCTCGGCAGCCGGCAGGCCTCTTGCGGCCTCTCTGTGGCCTGTCCGAAGCCTGCCTCCTCTC